CCCCCACTAGGGATTGAGCCAGCAACCCAGGCATGTGCCCTGACCGGGAATTGAACTGTGGCCTCCTGATTCATAAGTCGGTGCTCAACCACTGAGCCACTGCTGGCAGGGCTCTAACTGTTGCCCTTTACCTTCCCATTTCTCCATATAGATGGTCAACTCCTTAAGGATAGTGGGCACCTCATTAGTTTTTATATATTCCCCTATTGCATTTCATGTAGTCTATCTTTGGAAAATGCTTGTTGAATGAATCAAATCTAATCATACATGCACACACACAACACATACATACATAACACTCATATAAGCACATCCATCCATAACTCTAAAAAATTAGTGAACAGCAGCCATTGTGTCAGAGGACCCCAAGACCACCCCCAGGTTCACCCTTGGGAGGACGCCGAGGACTCAGCATTTAGTGACACTCGTGACTATGATGTGTTACTGTTGAAGGCTGCACAGCACAGTCAGCAAAGGAAATTGGTACCTGGGCAAAGTCCAGGGGACACCAGATGTAAGTTTCAAGAGTCCGCTCCCAGTAGAGTCACAAAGAACTTGCTTAATTCCCCTAGCAATGAACTGTGAAAACACATGTGAAATGTTGCTAGCCAGGGAAGCTTGGTAGAGACTCAGTGTTCATTGGGCTTATTGGGAGCTGGTCACGTAGGCACCCCCTGCCAGACATACTCGAATTCCAGACTCTCACAAGGAAATCAGGTGTTCAGCATAGACTTTATTATTTGCATAGTTTAGACCAGCCGTGGGCAAACTACGGCCCACCGGCCGGATCCGGCCCATTCGGCTGTTCTATCCGGCTCACGGAGCCGAAAGAGCAGAGGGTTCTCTTGCTCCCCCCTCCGCTCCTTCACCAGCAGCAGTGTTAACATGTATTAGTTCACACAAACATTCCATCCATGCTTTTGTTCTGGCCCTCCGGTCCAGTTTAAGAACCCATTGTGGCCCTCGAGTCAAAAAGTTTGCCCACCCCTGGTTTAGACACTCATCAGTGGTGGGAACCTTCCTGAAATCTAAGTTTCCAGATGCCAGCCAATGGCCAACCTTGTAAGCAGGCCTTTCAAAGGATAGCAGTTAGGTATACTATATTAACTATTTGCTGTACAACCATACTTTTGAAGACGTGAATTTCACAGGTGGTAAATACCTAAAGAGAGGAGGAAAAGGTCAACATGTTAGGAATGGTGAGTATGCTAAGTACTTTGATTTCTACTCTCTTCACAGATGAGGTAGATTATGAACTGAGCCATGGAGAGGAGCAGGACATAGAAGGGACTATGGCCAAAGATCCATGTTTGGCAGTAGAATGTAGAGTTGGGTAGAGAGATGGGTGTACAAACTATAGAGGACCTCAAAAACTGGGTAAAATAGGATGCGATGTGGTAGTAATAGGACATCTTCCTCGACTAAGGAGAAAGTGGTACTTGATGATTGCTTGGTAAGCAATGGGTAGGCAGGGTTATAGGGAGGATTTGAGATACAGGAAGACCAACAAGGGGACATTTTCAATGACATAAGTGTCAAGTTATAAAAATCTAGCCGAGGGTGATGCTTGTTTAGCTAGTTCAGCATTCTGCTTAGTTAGGTTTTCAAAAAATTGGAAGAATGGAGGGATTAATCCAAAAGGTGGTATAGAAGAAGCTATGTCAAAGGTGAACATGATTCAGAATAACTGTATGTTCTTCTTTGTTAATCCTCACTGAGGATATTTTTTCCACTTTTTTTTTTTTTTTAGAGAGAATGGGAGGGAGGGGGAAGAAGAGGAAGAGAGAGAGAAACTTCGATGTGAGACACATTGATTGTTTGCCTCCCGCACATACCCCGACTGGGGCAGGGGATTGAACCTGCAACCCAGGTACATTCCCTTGACCTGGAATCGAACCTGTGACCCTTTGGTGCGTGGGCTGACACTAACCACTGAGCAGCACACTGGCACTAGCCAGGGCTAATTGTACATTTTTTTTTCCACTTCGTACTTTTTTTTTTGCAGGATACTATTTTATTTTTCAATTATAGTTTACATTCAATATTATTATTATTTTATTATTATTATTTTTTTTAATTGCTTAAAGTATTACAAAAAGTATTACATATGTCTCCTCC